TATGTTATGCTATGCTAAGGCAAACACCTGTCTCTTATACACATCTAGATGTGTATAAGAGACAGTCTACACAGTGGATATAGTTACTCCTACAGTAGAAGAATTGTAACAATGTATAATAATAAATATAAATATAAAAATGTCTTTTATAATAAAGAAGTGCAATATCCCTTTGGATTGACAGTAAATAAGAAATCTAGAGTCCTGTATGTAGCAGATTGTGGAAACCTGTTGGGTAAGATAGGTTCAGAAGGCAGTGAAATAGGTCAACTGAAGGAACCACAAGATGTCACTTTAACTAAGGAAGGTCATGTGATTGTTGCTGACTTTGGAAATAACAGAATACAAATGTTTGATTCCAGTGGTAAGATGATGAGAGTTATTGTCGTAGGCTGTGGTGAGGAAGATGGTAAAGTTATGGGTCCTCATGGTGTAACCATGAATATGGATGAAAACTTAATTGTATCAAGCAATCATAAACTACAATTGTTTGATAAAAATGGTATCTTTATTAAAAGAATAGATCATGAAGATGATGGGTTATATATCCCAGTAGGATGCACTGTACTCTCTCATAGACCAAGAATAGTAGCGGTAGCAAACCATGGGAAAAACAATATAAAAATATTCAAATACTAAAGTAAGAGCTAATTAAATGTTCAAAATGTGTTTGATAAAAAATGATTAGGTTTATAGACAAAAAAAAAATGAATAAGAAATAGAAATATTGAAACAGTAGTGCATTTTACTTACTTTATTACAGTATTTTGGTTCTTCATAATGAGTTCCTTGATCGACCACAATGTAGTACTTCTAACACTTCTATATCATGTTTTACTTTTTTCAGCATTCTCTATAGAGTTGTACAGTAAATAAATTTCTGAAAAAATGACAAAAAGAGGAAATAATTATTATCAAATAAATAATTTTAGCATTAGAAACATTCATAATCATACACAAGGTAAAATACTCTCCTCACTCTCTGACAGTGATAGGAAATAATTATATTATTATTGATGATAGTTGATGGTGGCCGGTAGGATGATTGATTGGATTGGATTTATTTGGTATAAACACCAAGGATAGCCCACGAAAGTATAGAGGAAGACTTATTTCCAGTGTAGATCCCCTATGCTATGTTATGCCTGTCTCTTATACACATCTAGATGTGTATAAGAGACAGGAATTAATATCAGACCTTGAAACCATAAGCAAAAAAAAAAACAAAAAATTTTGAAAGAGAAGTTAATGATATTGATTTAAAGAAAAAACAGTTAAAAAAGCTTATACTCTCAATCAATGCAATGAAGAACAAACCAGAAGAAACACCAGCTCTTCAAATACATAAGGAAACTATTGATGCAATTAGGGACACATACCTAAGACCAGATCAACCACTTCAAAAGACAAATACCACACCAGTATTCATTCCGTCTACACACTTGGATGACTTGATGAACACAGAGTGCATTGGTAAAATCACAACTGTTGATCCCATGATGTACAAGGTTTCTGAAGATTTTGAAGCAATTACTGCAACAAAAGCAGAACCATTTGTAGTGAAAGTGACAAGTCTAGCAGAAAGTGATGTATGCCAATTAGTTTCCTCACTAATAAATGCATCAGGTGAAGAATCTGCAACTAAGATAGAATATCAGGGAAGTGGAGAGTACAAAATAATAGGTAGATGTGATGTGGAAGGTGACTGGCAAATGAGGATCACTGCTGGAGCTGAACACATCAAAGGTTCTCCAGTGAATGTCAAGGTGAAAACACTGGGAATTATTCAAACCATTGAGAACATAGCAGAAGAGCATAATAAAACAGAGAATGTGACAGATCTAGCAGTAGATACCGACGGATGTATATTAGTGTCAAGTAATAGTAAAAATATATTGAAATTCCATCAATCAGGCTCATTTGTTGATAGCCTGAGTGGCTTTTCATATAATCTTTTGGTGGCTAGAATGCATCAAATGGGTGATGGTGACATTCTACACAGTGGATATAGTTACTCCTACAGTAGAAGAATTGTAACAATGTATAATAATAAATATAAATATAAAAATGTCTTTTATAATAAAGAAGTGCAATATCCCTTTGGATTGACAGTAAATAAGAAATCTAGAGTCCTGTATGTAGCAGATTGTGGAAACCTGTTGGGTAAGATAGGTTCAGAAGGCAGTGAAATAGGTCAACTGAAGGAACCACAAGATGTCACTTTAACTAAGGAAGGTCATGTGATTGTTGCTGACTTTGGAAATAACAGAATACAAATGTTTGATTCCAGTGGTAAGATGATGAGAGTTATTGTCGTAGGCTGTGGTGAGGAAGATGGTAAAGTTATGGGTCCTCATGGTGTAACCATGAATATGGATGAAAACTTAATTGTATCAAGCAATCATAAACTACAATTGTTTGATAAAAATGGTATCTTTATTAAAAGAATAGATCATGAAGATGATGGGTTATATATCCCAGTAGGATGCACTGTACTCTCTCATAGACCAAGAATAGTAGCGGTAGCAAACCATGGGAAAAACAATATAAAAATATTCAAATACTAAAGTAAGAGCTAATTAAATGTTCAAAATGTGTTTGATAAAAAATGATTAGGTTTATAGACAAAAAAAAAATGAATAAGAAATAGAAATATTGAAACAGTAGTGCATTTTACTTACTTTATTACAGTATTTTGGTTCTTCATAATGAGTTCCTTGATCGACCACAATGTAGTACTTCTAACACTTCTATATCATGTTTTACTTTTTTCAGCATTCTCTATAGAGTTGTACAGTAAATAAATTTCTGAAAAAATGACAAAAAGAGGAAATAATTATTATCAAATAAATAATTTTAGCATTAGAAACATTCATAATCATACACAAGGTAAAATACTCTCCTCACTCTCTGACAGTGATAGGAAATAATTATATTATTATTGATGATAGTTGATGGTGGCCGGTAGGATGATTGATTGGATTGGATTTATTTGGTATAAACACCAAGGATAGCCCACGAAAGTATAGAGGAAGACTTATTTCCAGTGTAGATCCCCTATGCTATGTTATGCTATGCTAAGGCAAACACTGTACAAAGAGTAAAGCCTAATTTGCATATCAGTTGGCAAACCTAATTTGGCATAGCTTAATCTAGGAAATCAGTGTTTTAGACGGCTAGTTGAACACATTCGCTGTTTGAAGACGCCAGCAATGCGAGTTATTATTTTTATTATTAGACAGGCTTGGTTTGTTATGTTTATGAACAACTATATATTATCAGGCTTATGTGGCTAATTAGTACCAATGAATGAAGAGAATCAGCATGTGGTTTCAAATGCTGGGTTGTATTTTTGATCTTTTAAATAACGTATGAGAGTGCGTTACAGATGTTTATGATGCAGTGATGACGAAAATATAGATGGTAATTGTTGGTGGTGATATAGATGCTGATGGTGATGATGATGTTGATGATGATGGCGATGTTAGTAATAATGATGACGTATATGATGGTGACTGTAATGGAGTACTGTATTCCATATCTGAATTATGTCATTTTAAGCTACTATTGGCATTATTATTATAGAATTTATTCAAAGTTGATTACAATTAATGATAATTCTAGGTGTGTCACTGAAGGAAGTATAATGTTAATGTTGATATAATATTGATTTATTTGTGTAATACTTAAGGAAGTGTTATGTTTATGTTACTATACAATTGATTTATTTGGGAGATTATACTAGCTTGTTTGTGATTGGCTATGCTATGTCAAGGTAAGAAAATTATTGATATTAAATGATTGGTTAATGACATCATGTGAATATAGGAATGTTTGTGATTGGTTCACATACCAAATATTGTTTTGTATAATATGTGAGGGAAATTTGAATTTAGTTAAGTTTGGTGCAGCTCTTCAAAACTGAAGTTTGTCTTACTTCCGGTCTGGTGTCCTAATTGCCTGTATGTGTATGTGGATTGCTGAAAACTGAAATAAATTTGAATTTGAAGTTAAGGTATATTTGTGTTGGCTGAATTAAATTGAAGACGTATTTTTCTACTGGTGTTGGTGACAAAGAGTGTGTGCAAATTGTATTATATATCAATTACTAACAAAATAAGAAGAAAAATGATTGTATTAACAATACAAGAAGACGAGAAGTATTAATGACAGAAGACAGTAATATTAATATTACAGCAATTACATAATAATATTATATTACATTATATGGTGGCAACTACATTATAGTGACGATGATTGATATATAAGTCATTAAATTTTTTTTAAAAAGAACATTAGTTCCACATGGATAAAATATTCATTAAAATGGCTAGTAAGATACTTAAATGATCCAACTCCAAACAGAAATTAACAAGATACAGCACAAACATTATCCTGAAATTGATGTATTGGGAAATATTTGTTCTGACTACAAATACAAATGTCCTATTATATTTTATTTGTTTAGATATTTTAAAATATATTTTAATTAAAATCATTTATTATTCACATTTCTGTGCAATTTACTGTTTACTGTTTAATTTACTGTGTATTAAAGCTTATTGCCATGTTGTTTCTTTTTATTATTAACTTTTAATGATTTAAATGTATTTGAAAAAAAAATTAATGATGGACTCATAACAACCTATAATGGTTTAATTTCATGAAGTTTAACATGTACTTTATTATCTATTCTACTGTTTTTATGATGAAATGAATAATGATTGAATTGAATCATGGAGGAATTACTTTATTAAATACATAGTTTATAATTAAATCAAAAATACAATCCAAAATCAGAATATACAATATGGCTTATTTTGTATGTATTAAAAAAAATAATAATAATAATGATGGACTCTATGATCAGGGAGATGTTTTTTACATCTCCCTGCTATGATGTTCAATTTCAAGTATTTTAACATGCAGGGGCGGATTTAGGTGAGGGGGGGCTCCCCCCTTTTGAGAGGTAAAAAAAAGAGAAAAAAAAAGAAAAAAAGAATGAAAAAGAAAAAACGATAACCCAGAACGCCTCAAATGTTATTTTCGGGTGTCTAAAACACAGAAATTTCGCGGGGGCATGTCCCCGGACATCCTACTTCGGTGTTGTCTCGATCGGCCCAAATTTCGGGCCCCCCCCCCACTTTTGGACATCTCTGGATCCGCCCCTGACATGTACTAATTATACTATCTATTCTAGACTTTAAGGAATAAATATTGAATTGAATTAAATATATAGTTTTTGAAGGTTTATTATAAAAAGGTATCTGAAAATATAGAGTAGTAGGTCAGGCCCATGTGTAAAATTTAACAGGGAATTTATTTCCATCTAAAAAACTCATCTTTTCCAGTAGTAGAATTGCAATTTATGTTTAGGAATTACAACAATAGGCAATCCCACAACATATGATGTTTGGGATGTTCAGTCTACACCTTTTTAGTAAGCCCCAAGAGAAAATTTTCAGTATCATTGCAAAATGGTTTAGAGTTTATCTCTATCATATCCATGCTGTTCCATCCTCCTTTACCACAAAACCCGACTTATCCACGAAAACTCGGGAAATCAAACCAGGGTCTCTTATCATAGCTAATTACACTCTAATTATCAGGAAGGCCAGACCATGGTACATCAGGGGCTATCGTGGCTGGAAAAGTCATTATCTCAGAAGGGTGCTGCCATAGCAATAAACAATCAATTCATACTGAGTTTACTGTAAAAAGAAAAAAAAAATCTATTTTGTTGAAAATCGTATGAAATATGTTAACATTTGTCTTTAGCAGAAAAAACTGTCCTACCTACGAGTTTGAATCATAAAAAACGAGCCGTTTTACGAGAAGTAACAAAAGTACAGGTATTACTACTACTAGGCCTACCCTAGGCCGACTTGGTATAGGAGTCGTAACGACAACATGAAGTTTCTGAAAAAGGCAGATGAATATATTTGTTTGAACTTGATTCACTTTGAATCCATTTATTAGTAATATTTTTTTATTGATGAAAATTAGTGTGTAAAATATTTAGAAACTATTTTAAATATACGAATCGTTTAATATATAATTGTTTGTTGTAAATAAAAATAATACAACTGTAATTGGGAACTATTTTTCCAGCGTAATGACAGAAAAACACCAGCAGTAAATAATAAAGGAGTGCATGGTTTGATCGTCAGATGATTCGTGTCATATGTGTTGTAAATTTGTAAGCAGTAGTTGACAGTACTGAGAGATGGAAAAAATTAGGTTGGCAAAAATTTGCAGACCTTAAATTCTCAGAGGTCGGCACAAAAAAAAAAAAAAAAAAAAGGACCCTTTTGTATTTAGATAGATTTTGTCGTTCAAGTACTTAAATTATTGGTATGTTCTTGATCCTAGTTTTTAGTACAATTTGTTTTAATGTTTATAATTCGCATTTCTATTCTAGGGTCAATTGAATCAATACAATCAATAATAAATCTTTAGGTTTTCACTGTATGTGTATTCTCGATGTACAGCTACAGTAGTACGGTAATTAAAATATATTTCAATGATTACAATTCATATTTCTATTATACTGTAGGCTTCAGAATGATAACTTTTATCTGTAAAATTATCTTTTAATATGCATTTTCATTTGTTGATGATTAAATTTTCAACTTGGAAGTGTCTGCAATTGCTTACCTGTTGGTGGCTGGGTGTGATAGGTCAGGTATTTTCTCTTTTTAACACAATTCAAGCTATCACCCGGGTTGAAGTCTGTCCCAAGAAGTAGGGTTAATATCAGGTGTATGAGGTAAAACTTAGCTTAACTGTAAGCCTCTTACTGACTCATGTGATGGACTTATCTGACAGTGGTTCAATATCAGATGCTCAGCCTAAGGAGAAAACATATAGAAAATATAATTCAATATCCAAAAGTGAATCAAAAAGCAATTTCATCATCTGAAAAGTGATTCAGTGCCTTAGTGGACCTGTTGGTATGTAAAATGGTTGCCTTTCAATCCCAATTTCAGATATTAACTACATATTGATTAGCATATTTTATTAATTGCATTTAAAATTAAGCGTATAAAGTTATTTGGCCAACTGCCACAATTGTACCAGCCATACAAGTCATTTAGTGAGATTTGAAAAAAAATGCCACTTATAGCATAGATTGCAAAATTAAAGCTTAAAATGTCTATGTGAAATCCATCATCCAAGATTTATAATCAAATCCAATTAATTATATGGTTTTAAAAAAAAAGGACCCTCGTTTTAACTGATATTATACTGAGCCGTACAATATGCAGTGAACCGTTCAGTGAGCAGATGACAGTAATTTTGATCATGACAAACTACATTAATCCCAATTTGAACTATCACAAACATGGATTCAAATTTATTAAAAACAAATCCAATATGAGAAATATTTTTTGTAGGTTACAATTTTTTTTATTTAGGCCAAAATGTTTGACAGCGATGTTTATATAAAACCTTGTCTAAAAGCCCTATTGGAAATTCCCACTATCTTGCTTCTATGCCATAAATAGAATTTTACCGTGCAAATCACGTCATTTAATAAGGTTCCAATTGAGGTGATGCAGGACGTGAGTATATCTTTCAAGTTTAGCCTTTAAAGTTGAGTTTATATGTTTATGCACTGTCGACATTTTCTAATAATAAATTTTAGAAAATTCTACATGATGAAATGATACTGCAGTTTGGATTAAGACCTGATGATGTGTTGGATGAGGATGAGGAGATGTCAGTACAGCTCTGAAGGCCTCTCTAGTGAATTCAAATAGTATGAATGATGATGATAAAACCTCTAGGCCCATAAATATTGCAAAGGCAGAGGCAGTGAGACCTGGCCTAAACCCAAAATTTTTTTTAATAAAAAAAAAAAAATAGGAAAAAAAAATTAAATTATTTAAAATTTATTTCTGTAGATATTCCAGGCCATCTATGGTGTCATAGTTATAAAATTTTGTACTAGCCCCACTAATGGTGTGGAGTAGACCCCTCATCTGAAAAATTCCTTCTTTAGGCCCTCTCAAGTTCTTGCATCCGGTATTGTATAAACCACACTGTGTATCTTAATTGAGAGGGAAAAAAACTAGCTCAAATTTGTGCAGCAAATTGCTACGAAAATGTGCGATGAGTCGTAAATGCTGTGAAGAAATATTTAGACCTACAGTAGACTACAAAATGTTTGCAGAAATTGGACAATATTTTTTAAATGTGTAGACAGACAGTGTGACTCAGTATATACATCTGATTTTTACGACCTGGATGGAATAAAGACCCCTCCTTTGGATTATGAATGAGATGCTAATGGAGCCATGAATCAGGTTTGGTGACCTGGATGATAATGATATGCTAGGCCCTTCAGTAATTTTTGTTAATTTGTTTAGAGTTAGTATTGTTTCCCAAAATCAATTTATTTTCTTGTACAGTATTTAATTTTCATTTTTTTTCCCATTATAATTAAGGCTACAAATGTTAATTTCTAGTGGTAGTTTGTCAAACTTTGTATTCTATAGCAAAAAAACTGTTTTTTGCTTGATAAAAAAATTCTTTATTACAAAAATATATAGTTTTTGTAAACATGTTGTAACTTCCATAGATTAAACTTACACAGGCAATCTCATAAAAAAGAATTTATGACTTTAAAGTTTGGGTGGTGTATGGGATATTCAGTATATAATTTCCTTGAGCTTCTTCACTATGGTAAAAATCATATTTAAATGATTCCAAGGCTAGGAAAAAAAAGTAAATGCTTGTTTAATCTCCAAAAAAAACCTTTTTCATACTTATGCTTTTTACACTAGGTTATTCATCAACAAGAGCAATATCTTCAAAATTTAAGTTTGTGCTGCATTACTTGAGAGTTTTCAGAAAGTGTTTACATTCAATCAAATCAAGGTAAGAGATTGATAATTACAAAAAACTAATAACACCTGATGATAGAAAATGTTAAATTGCCTTTAGTACTCACACACGTTGTTGTTGCCGGCTATGTTACATCAAGTCAGAAAACTGTGAATCTGAAAGCAATTGTGTGAAAATTATTTAAAATAAAACCATATACCCTGTGACTCTTGTATAACATCCAAAAATTTAAAAAAAATTGATTCATTTTTTAAACACTAAATTTAACAAAGTTACATAATTAATACAGCAACAGCACTTGATTTTAGCTAACAATTAATACAAATTATTAAGAATTCTAACATAGAACGATGTTTTCTTAACAGATGTCTGTCACAGTATCACAGTTTATAAATGATAAAGATCTTGAGTGTGCCATTTGTCTCAACCGGTTTCACCAACCAAAGACACTGAAATGCATGCACACCTACTGTCAACAGTGTATCCAGGAATGGGTAGAAGGTCATAGCAAGTTGGAATGCCCAACATGTGGACAAAAACATGATTTAACAAAAGAAGATTTAAAACAACTTGCTTCAAATAAAATGATAAGTCAACTACTAGAGTATGCTGCAAAAATCGAGGATCAGAAACCGGCTAAATGCTCTTTCTGTGACAATAAACCAGCATACTACTGCTCAACATGTCAACTGTATCTATGTGGAGGTCCATGTACCAAACAACACAAAACAGTATCTTCCACAAAAGATCATCAACTTTACACACTAGACTCGAAGGAAGAGGATGACAAAGAAACCAAATGCCCAGCTCATTGCAACACCCCACTGGAATTTTACTGCTCCAATTGCAACAAATCAGCATGTAAGAGATGTGAAAAATTCCTTCTTTGTTTGCAAGAACAACATGAAGTCACTCCAATGCCAAATGTTGTAGATCTGTTTAACCAAAACATCACTGAACTTCTCAAGTTAGCACAAGAAGTTAAAAATATGTTAGATGGAAAAAAAGAAGTCATAGAAACGGATCGAAAAACATTTGATGCTAAACTAAAGTTATACAGAAAAGCTATTGAAATTCAGGGAAATAATCATATTTTGAGAGTTAAAGAGGAAATGAAGAAATTATTTTTGGATCTTGAAAGAATAGAGAGAGAAGTAGATATTAATAGTAAAGTTAAAGATGTTGATTCAAAGATGACTGAATTAAATAATCTAATTGACTCCATCAATGCACTAATCAACAAACCAGAAGAACGAGAAACACTTAAATGTAAAAAGGCAAATATCACAGCTCTCAGGGACAAAGTTATACAAACTGATATTCATAAAACAAATATTACACCAACATTTATCCCATCTACACACTTTGATGGGTTGATGAATACAGAGGGCATAGGCAAAATCACAAGCATTGATATGAGGTACAAAGTTGCTGAAGAAGATAAAGCAATCACCATCACGAAAGGACAAAAATTTGTAGTGAAAGTATTAAGTCCAGCCATGGAGGAAATATGTCCAGCAGAGAATGATGCATGCCGATTAACTGCAAATATAATAACCTCATTAGGTGACGTCAAATTAGAAACTGAGGTAGTATATCAGGGAAGAAGACAGTATAAAATAACCGGTAGGTGCAATGTGGAAGGTAATTGGCAAATGAAGATAACTGTTGGAGCTGCACACATTCAAGGTTCACCAGTGAATATCAAGGTGGAAAAAGCAGGACTTGTTCATACAACTGGTAATATATCTGATTATAAAGATCATAATGACACAAAGAATGTGGTAGGTGTGTTACATACAGATGGATGTATATTAATATCATGCTATAGTAAAACTATTTTAAGGTTTAACCAATCAGGTTTATTTGTTGATAGGATACAGGTACCTCAAGATGTGATGGTTAATAGAATGCATCAAATGGACGATGGTCACCTTGTGTATGGTGACCTCTTACAAAAGTGTGTTGTAATGAGTGATAACAAATTTCAAGAAATCTGCTTATTTGGTAAAGAAATGTTGAAATATCCAAGGGGCTTGACAGTGAATGAGGAAACTAGAGTCCTGTATGTAGCTGATGATACGGCTCACTGTGTGTTTCTTTTTAATATCGATGATGGCAGGCCGCTAGGTAAGATAACTGCAGAAGGTAGTGAAGTAGATCAGCTTAAGTTCAAACCACAAGATGTCACTTTAACCAAGGAAGGTCATGTAATTGTTGCTGATTCCACAAATAACAACATACAAATATTTGATGCGAATGGCAAGTTTATGAAAATTCTTGTAGGCAATGGTATAAAAGATGGTCAAGTTTGCTGTCCTACTGGTGTAACATTTGACTTGGATGAAAATATAATAGTATCGAGTAATAATAAATTACAATTATTTAATAAAAATGGTGAATTCATAAAACGAATAGATCATGAAGGTGATGGATTAGAAGTTCCATGTGGAATCACTGCAATCTCCAATGGACAGCTGAGAAGAGTAGCAGTAGCCAACAACAAAGCAAACAATCTTAAAATATACAACTATTGAATGACCTACTTTATAGCCATCAAATTTAAAATTGTTTTTTGGCAATTTATTTATGAAGTTATAGGCCATTACGATTTTACCCCTTTAGCAGTGTGACGTCAGTGTAAGCTATAAACCAAAGAATGTATAGCGCCGATTTTTGGTTACAGTAGCTGCTAAATTTTAATGGCTTATAACATAAAAAATTGCCAAAAAACAATTTTAAAATTTCTATACTAATGACATATCAAAATTCCCCTCTAGAAAAAATACCATCTGTCTAGGACCCTTTTAATATACATTCCAAACCTATGATTGGCCACTGTTTTCAGATAGTGTTTTGTTAATTTGCAATACTGTACATGCATTAAAATTGAAAACTAATATAATTGTTAATTTCATAAGAATTATTATTAAATTATTCTGTAAATAAGAGAATTTTAGATATTAAGAAAAAAACAGGGCCATAAGGAATCAGAGGGAGTACCCCTAATGGAACCAATACTTGCACTTAAATGGAATTTCATAAATGTGTGAAAGTGAACGAATATTGTGCTTAAAATTCTTGTTAATCATAGACTAATAAGTGGCACCATATAATGTATAGTCAAATTTTACCAACAATTTTGCAAATTTCAATTTATTGGGGCAGAAATTACCTTGAAAACTATATCAGTTTCTCTATGACAATGCATATCTGGATATCTATATATTTTTCCGCAACAAAGAGAGTAGCATTCAAATTTTAAATTGATCTCCCATGTTACTCAAGCAGGTTGCAGGCCTACCTGTACCTGTTTTATTTAATTGAAATAAAAAAAAAAAGAAGCAAAATTAATATGAAATGCATAAACACTTTTTCATTCAAACTATGAAATTACCAAATGTAGATGAACTATGCACTGACCAACACATGGTTGGGTTCTATGTTACCAAGGTTAGAGCTGTCTTCATCCCTCATTATTACCTTTTCAGTCCAAGTCTCACTACACATTGAGTTGGTATCAATGTTTTTTTTTATTCATTATTTTTCTTTTATTTTCATGTACTTATCTGCTTTATAATTTGTCTATTGATTTTTTTTGCTTTATAATTTCAACATCAGTTCTCATTTTAAGGAATGAGGGATATTTTTTGTTTTAAAAACAGATATTTAGTCAGTCAAGTTTCTATTGTTTGCCATAATTTTCATGCAATTATTTTGTTTTTTTGTTTGCATTACCAATGCTGCCACAGATTTTGTGTCAATAATATTTTATGTAAATTTTGAGATGAATAAATGAAATATTTTGAAAAGTGATTTTTTTTTCTTTTACCAAGGAAAAGGCCAAACAAATAGGACTCACAGGGCAACTTGTCAAGCTTTCATATCAAATTCCATACCCTATCTATACATTGTAGTGCTGATGCATTTTACCACTGCCAAACTGCATGGAGTGAGTGATGGTTGCCAAACGAACTATAGGCTTATAAGCCTTATAGTCAAAAGACATGCTGGCAGACCAACGGATCAAATGTGATTGGGCAACACAGTTAATAATGTTTATGTTGAGAATCATGTAGTGTAATTTTCATGATGTAATGATTTTGATGTATGTTTTGAAGAACATCATTTTTCAAATGATATTTTCTACATTGAGATGTAATGTTTTACATAAAAACATTGAGTGGGTGGACAATATTAACATAGAAAATCACAAAATGTGTTTCAAAAAAAGGTAGTAAACATACCACATTATTGTCCGCATGTACCGCATGTAAAACAAAATGAAGTCTGAATAAAACATCTTCATTACTGTCGGTTGCCATAGAAAATTACCCTTCATGGTTTTTACTGAAATAAAACAGAGATAATATCAATTTAATAAATATAGTAATTTTTTTTGGACATGATAAATTAAATGTCTGAGACATCGATCGGTTTAAAATTCACATTCAGAAACTAGATCTACTATCACTGAAGTGAGACTATGGCTCAATAGCAGTATTAACATAGATAATAGGCATATCTTATAGACTGGATACGGTTCATTTTTCAACTTGTATACACTGATCTATTTTATCTAGTTTATTTAAGTACGTATCTTATCCAATTATTGCTGCTATTATTATTATTATTATTATTGTTATTATTATTAATACTATTATTATTTTTATTATTATACTATTACTATTATTATTATTATTATTATTAATATTATTATCACTATCATTATTTATTACTATTATCATCATCATTATTGTTATCATTATCCTGTCCTTTTTACGATTATTTCCTATTTCATGTGTATACACTGAATCCATAACTATGTTTATCATGATCTATGAATCCGTCATTGTAATAGCAATATATTTACTTTTCAATTTTATAATGGTCATTTATACCTGTCATTAATTGAGGTTCTTAACCATAAGTTGTCGTATAGCCATCTGCTGTTTATTCACAATAATTATCTTACTTTTGTTTATATCAACTTGTTTAAAGGCTGGATGATACCTTTTGCCAATTAGATACTATTGCGCCAATTTTCATAATGTAAATCAGTCATGTTGAGGAGGACCTGAGGCCAGGTTAAAATATTCATGTTTACATAAAAATGTTTACATAAAATAGTGTTCTAAAATACATACATACATATATATATCTGTCTCTTATCCACATCTAGATGTGTATAAGAGACAGCTCACACTAGAAAATAGTTTTTTTGTAGGTACCCTTTTAAAGGTCAGGATTTCTGTTTGACAGTGATGTTTATTTATAACCTTAGCTATTAGAATTTGAAGTACAGTAATAATGGGAATTCCCACTATTTGTGTTGCGTACAAAGTTTTACAATGCATGAATGCACTTTAATGGTTCACGTTGAGTTCCTTCCAGGTATTCAAAATTTATTATTTTCTGTTTTTGAAGTTCAGTGTATAATGATATGCAACAATAAAATTATTTTATCTGATAATAATAAGAATGATTTATGCTTAAACTGAATTTATTTAGGTCAGGCCATAAATGTCTGTCTGTGAAGTTTACGTCTGAGTTTGGCTAACATAGCCACACAAATGTACTTAGACAAGGTTAGGTATACACCCTGGTTTTTACAGTGGTAACAATGATTTATAATAATAATAATAATAATAATAATAACAATAATAATAATAATAAATTTAGCCACTGAAAATATATTAGTTATTGGCAGCCATTGACTAGGAAATCTAGTTGGCATATTACATCTCATGATATTCTTATATTATATTATATTAAATTATATTGTATTATATTATATTATGTTGTGAATACATCTTCATTTAGAAAAATGCTAACTGAATTTTATTTAGGTCTGGCCATAAATGTCTGTCTGTGAAGTTTACATCTATGTATTGTACTACACTGTTATGTCACGATACCACATGATACTCTCCCATTGCTATCAGCGACACAAACTGCGTTCAACAGGATCCATTGTCTCCACTGACAAACCATTTATCCCAATTTCCAACATTTATTAAGATGTATCTTAATTTTTCTTTGTAAATTTTAACAAATGATTAAATGTGTGTTTGATAACTATAATGTGAGCTTTTGTGTTTTTAGTACATTTTGATGGTAAATTATTAGGTTTTAAAATGCCTACTACAGAAAGCCTATTCTAAACCATTAAGATTATGAAGTCATTCAGGCGCATTGAACGGTAACCAATGTCTGGTTGACAACGAAGGCCACCACCCAGTGTGGTGACGGCACGACAGTTGTACTCATGGCTAACTTAATTGTACTTTGGCTAGGGTAGGGCACCCTGGTTTTCACACCAAATAACTTTAAATGCTAACTGAATTTTATTTAGGTCAGACCATAAATGCCTGTCCTGTGAAGTTTACATCTGTGTATGGCTTAGTGGCTAAAACATAGGCAAAAAAAATGTACTTAGGCATCAATTTTAATTGATGTACAGTACTTGTATTTTGTATATAAATTTGATTTCTCTTGTCGCAATAATATTAATACATTTTTTTTAAATATTGTGTATAATAATTATATATTTTAATAAATTTCAATTCAATTCAATATAACATTTTGTTCATCCACACAAATACAATTCGAAATCATAGCATTCATCATACAAAAGAAGTATTACAAAGTGGACAAGAGACAGTTAAAAGGCAGAAGCTTGTCTAAACTGCCCCTTAACAAATACAAACATGAATAAAAGTAAAATAATAAAAAAATAAATAAAAAATGAATAAATAAATAAAAAAAATAAATAAAATAAACTAGAAAATATAAATATAAGAGTAATAATTATGAGGAACTATTGTTTTTATTAATTAAAGAGCATTTTAGTTCATTTCTACCATCCATTGGATTTCCATTTGAGAGTACTGTAGAATAATTTGCCTTTGTATTTACATTTAGTTGTGTCCTAATTACATAATTTCAATTACATAGCATTTCTTCTGGTAAAGCACCTGGCAATGATAACGTTCCAAATTGGATATTGAAAGAGCACGCTCCAACATTATCAAAGCCCTTGTGTACCATTATCAACTCAAGTCTACGTGAAGGTTTTGTGCCTCAGTTTTAGAAAAGTGCCAACATAGTTCCAATTGCTAAAGTTAATCCTCCTACAAATATCGAGTATGATCTTAGACAAATCTCACTCACCCCAACTACGGCCAAAATTGCAGAAAGCCTAATTGGGGAACACTTATGGAACCAACTAAAACTTAATATTGATCCTAACCAATTTGGGTGTATGAAGGGTGTCTCAACAGCTGATGCATCTTTATGACTATGACTACAATTTTATTTGAGTGCTATGATGCTACTGATAAAAGTAATGAATTGCGTATATTACTTGTTGACTTTAAGAAGGCCTATGACTTAATTGACCACAATATTGTTATCAATAAGCTCTGTCTCTTGATGTTGACCAATACATTGTTGCTTCGGTTAGTTCGTTTCTTAGTAATAGGCTTAACAGGGTTAAATTGGATGATAATCTTTCACCGAATGGAGGCTCATGCCAAGGTACTTGGTTGGGTGTTATTATATTTCTTATTTTTATTAATGACCTATATACAAACAATCTTAATGTTCAATTTACGGATGATACCACAGTAGTAGAAAAAATACCTAAAAATCAAACAAGCAATTTACAAAATGATGAGAACCTTATTGTTAATTGGTCTGATAGCAACCATACGAAACAATCTTAATGTTAAATTTATGGATGATACCGCAGTAGTAGAAAGAATACCTAAAATCAAATAAGCGATTTACAAAATGATGTCAACTTTATTGTTAATTGGTCAGATACCTGTAGCAACTGTATGAAACTTAACGCAAAAAAAAAACTCCAAAGAGATAATTAGCTGTAAAAAAGTTAAAACAGAATTTGAATCATTCTGTATTGAAGAAAGTAACATTGATTGTGTTTCTGTAACTAAATTGCTTGGAGCAGTAATTTATCTTGGCAAGACCGCATATTGATATATCATTAAGAAGTGGAATTCTAAATAATTTTTTCTTAGACAACTGAAACAGATGTTGATAGCCAATGATAGCTGTTCTATAAACAGGTCATTAGACCTGTATTAGAATACGCAGTGCCAGTAGGGGCATGAACATTACCAAGAACCAGTCTTACCAAATTTATCGCATTCAACATAAAAGCCTGCAAAATAAACTTTAACGAAACTTGTACAATTGATGATAACCTTGTTATTCCGCTCAAAGTTAGAAGGGGCAACCTGTGCCCCTTCACCAAGGTTAAACATCCGGGGCATGTACTACATTATTTGCTACCTGATAAAAGAAACATAAACTATCCTTCGAGTTCCTAGTGAGTTTAAGTAAAGTCAGAACAAAGCGGTCTAGTGACTTTATTTCAAATCATGAAGTATTTGCCAATTGGTGAAATCTACCATGGCAACTTTCTTCCCCTTCCTTTCCTCCCCTTCTCCTTCCACACAATATATAATAAAAATAAAATGAAATATCCTGTAGGCTCTTTTCAGTTTTCATAATTTGGTTTTTAGTACAGTCCTTAGCATAATC